CCTGCGTTTCCCCCCCACCCCTCCACCCTGAGTTTCCCCATCCCCAGTGCCATCCTTTCGTTTCCCCCCACCCCTCCACCCTGACTTTCCCCCATCCCCAGTGCCATCCTTTCGTTTCCCCCCACCCCTCCACCCTGACTTTCCCCCATCCCCCGTGCCATCCTGCGTTTCCCCCCACCCCTCCACCCTGACTTTCCCCCATCCCCCGTGCCATCCTGCGTTTCCCCCCACCCCTCCACCCTGACTTTCCCCCATCCCCCGCGCCATCCTGCATTTCCCCCCATCCCTCCACCCTGACTTTCCCCTATCCCCTTGCGCCATCCTGCGTTACCCACCCACCCCTCCACCATTTTTTTCCCCCATCCCCAGTGCCATCCTTTCGTTTCCCCCCACGCCTCCACCCTGACTCTCCCCCATCCCCCGTGCCATCCTGCGTTTCCCCCCACCCCTCCACCCTGACTTTCCCCCATCCCCCGTGCCATCCTGCGTTTCCCCCCACCCTGACTTTCCCCCATCCCCCGCACCATCCTGCGTTTCCCCCCACCCCTCCACCCTGACTTTCCCCCATCCCCTGTGCCATCCTGCGTTTCCCCCCACCCCGACTTTCCACCATCCCCCGCACCATCCTCCTCCTTATTTTCTTCACTACATCAAAAGCATAATGATGTATAACATTAGCACCACTGTAATTACATAGGAAATCCCTTTATACACAATATATTACTAGAAATATGAGCGAGGTCTGCCCTCCTTCATCAGTCAATGTATTACATACATGATGTTTAGAGTACACATGATTGCTAGGCCCCCCCGTGTCGTAAATAAGAAATTATGGCATTCCATGACATATATTCTCACTTTCCTTCTGCAATTAAGAAACAAGCATACCGTAACTTGGTATTTCGAGCATCAGTAACGTTTTTTCTAGTTCAGGGAATCGACCAATTGAATGCTTTCTCATTCAATATTTTTCTGCAGTGTTAGGTAATAAATCACTTGAGAATACTGAAACACATACCGAACAGAGATAAACACAGCAGGGTTCCCTAATCCTAGAATTCTATCCCTCAAGTTATTTCTTTATTTCAGAAAAAGGATGACTCAATAATTTACTTCATTATTCATCAATATTTAATTTGTATACATACACCTGATTTGTCTTCACTAGAACAGGATAATAAGACAAAAAATCAATGTGCGTAAATCGTATAAGAAGCTCTTCAGGGAAAGAGCCAGGGTAAAATTTGTCACAATATCCTGCTGAGCCGTCTCTATATAGATGAATGCCCTATCATATGTACATTGTGACATGGACGATCAAGTAGATAATGATGGACTTCCATGTTCCTCCGTCCAGACGTGAGACAGGAAAGATGTTATGAAATCCTCCCTATTGTAGCTACATTGGTTGGCCATGGAGAAAAGCAACACATTGCATTGATGTTTGGTCATCATAAAACCAGATCTAAGGTTTACAGATTAAATTGTTAGATCCAGGCACATCAAACTACAGAAGGAAATGATTATATAACACACCAATGCATAAGAAATGATATAAAAAATGTTTAAGTTCAACATCTTCACAAACCATCAAGTCTTTTCAACATGTCTGTTGTTGTGAAGATAGATTTACATGTAGAATTAAAAAGAAAAGTAGGAGTTCAATCTCCAGTTTCTTTCTTTTTAATTGAAGACATGCATTTTGATGTGAATTTTCTATTAAGCAAAGTGAATTTGATACTGAAACTCATTCTGATAGACAATATCATAATGAGATTATCTTTAAAGATGACTCCTATCTTAGGTAATGCTAGAACAAGCCCTATTAACTCTAGCTGGACAGGCATTTAAAATCCTCTTTCATGATGACAGGTACGAAATTAAACCAATCTTACCCTTGTTCTCTCTCAAGTTTGATAAAAGCAGTATGATATATGGGCTACCTCAATGTTCACATGGTCTCAATTAGCTTGAAGTGCATGATACTGCGTGTGGCAGTAATTATCTCAAAAGGTAAAATGGGAAAGGAGTATGGAGCAGAAGGAGATATGTTGGCCCCTAGAATTGTAACTACAGGAGAGAGTACTAAACTTTATCAATCATTTCATTATAATGCCATCCTTACTTTACTGCCACGGTTATCTGATGTATCCTTCATTATATTGACAAACCTTGGCCTCTTTACAATATTGAAGGCTTGAAATCCATGAAAATTTAAGGAAATGTTACTGAGAATAAGCAAGACTTAATTCTTTAATTAGAGCTGTAAAATGCATGATTACACAGACAAGGCACTCTTATTTCTCTAGATGACATGTGACAGGCCTTCTGTATGTTGTTCAGTGAGGTTGCCACCAGCTACTATCTGGAGTCCCTGCCTCAAAATTACCATACCTTTACAAGGTGATAAACCCAACAAACATCAAATCTATAAAATCTCATTCACATTATGGACATTGACAATTTGGGAATTTACAGATCAAAATGATTTTAAACATTTTCCTGAAGTAGCTAGAATACAAGAATAATTTAAAGAAAATAAAAAACACCCTAACAAACTCAAGTTTGCAATAGCACTTTATCCACATCTGTAACACAAGCATAAATGACTTGCAGTTCATCTCACATTGTATGTTAGGGGCCATAAACTGCTGTTATTGTCTGCTTCCCTTTATCTTTAAAACATTTTTTCTCAAAAACCTGAAGTATTCTCTCCTAATTCTGACCTCGATTTGTTCCATCCTACAAGCCTACAGGGGTATTGCTTACATGTTTTGCATTGAAATTCATAATAAGCAAAGAGTGGCTGTACAAATGTATACAAAAATTGACCTGACTGGAATACATATACCGATGAATACAAGAATAAAATATGCTTGATAAGACCAAATGAAAAACATCTGTTTCTCAGTAAAACATTGAAAACGAGGATGGTATTCAGATAGATATGGATCCTTGTTTTTACTACCTGTATTTTGAATGTTTACAAAATAGAGCAGACTTACTGTCTTTAAAAATTTTTATTGAAAATTTGCATAATTTAAGTGGTAATGCTGGGAACGCAACAAGAAATAGATACGTTCCTTTCAGGTCCTATAACATAAAGTGATTTATCTTCAGTTGAAACAGATTACATAAAAAAGTTTACATGTACAGTATAAATCCATAAACAGCCCTTTATTATCAATTAATTAAGATAAATGAATAAATGAATAAATAAATGCTTGATCGTGTGTACATTTTTGATTGAATACCAACATAAATTATTATGTGCATCATATTGATATATTATCTATGTTTATATTCGTCCTCTCTAACTTTCATCACCAGGTGTGTCACTATAATTACTTATAGTATATCCTGTTTCTACATGAATAGTATACATTAGGAACATCACATGACAAAAATCATCCCAACCATACATAATCCTTCTTTATACTTGTTACTTTGTCAAATTATTGTCACTCAGTACAGATTTTACACCTAACTTTGTCTCAGATTATATCCCCTTGATTCCTGTTTAACCATTATCATGTTCTTTTCGGTGACCTAAACATGCTTGAAATTTAAGTAAGCTTTTCAGTGATGAAGCGGATTTCTCACTGGTTCTTTACATAGTCATGTACTCTGTCAGATTATCTCCCCTACTGGAGGTGCTATCCAAAATTGTTTTTTTATATGTTCTACTTTCTAATTGTCTGCCCTTGATGAAGCGAATTTCACATACAGGTTATATATAGTGATCTACTTTGTAAGATTATCTTCGTGATCAAGTGGTCATTTTCTATTATAAATTACACAACACAGAAAACTAGCTTACATCTGACAGGATAATTGGAGACACAACACACAATGAGATGATTAAAGGATAACGTAGCTAAAAGAAAAAATCTTGGTAAGTAATGGCAACTGAAACAAAAAGCGATAAGATATCAAAAACACATCTTCCCACTCATCCCTCTTCACAAAAAAATAAACAGATAACTAGTTGAACAAGAGATCCCAGAGGGATCTTGGCGCCCACCATTTAAGGATCTGTTTTCAGTTCTTGAAGATTTGTTTATTTTTTTTTTGTGTTACAGGTTTTGTAAATGTTCATGAACTGGTCTTCATTGAATGTACTCAATGATGGCACAAGATATTTTTATTAAGCACCTATTAGCAAATATCATTTGAAAAAGATCCCAAAGTATTATAAGATAGCAGTCAGTTACAGGTGGATAATGGACATGGTCTTGAATCAATATGATAAAATATCGAAGAAAATATGCTTGTGCTGTATTACTGTCGACATCCAAGATGGCTGCCTGTGGGCCAACTTGATTGCAAATCAGTCAAAAAAAAGTACAATGCACAACTAAGGACCAAGGGAAACCAATACCTATGAAATATCAGAAGTATCCATCCAGTACTTCCTCAGAAATAGCGATAACAAACTTTTACTTCCAAAATCCAAGATGGCCGTCTGTCAGCCATCTTGATTTCAGATCAGTCCAAAAAAGGTACAATGCACAACTAGGGACCAAGGGTAAACTGCATATGAAATTTGAGAAAGATCCATCCAGTACTTTCCCAGAAAAAGTGGTCACAAATTTTTACTTTCAAACACCAAGATGGCTGCCTGTCGGCCATCTTGAATTTGAATCAGTCCAAAAAAGGTACAATGCACAACTAGGGACCAAGAGGAACTGGCATATGAAATCTGAGAAAGATCCTTCCAGTACTTTCCCAGAAATAGCAGTAACAAACTTTTACTTCCAAAATCCAAAATGGCTGCCTGTCGGCCATCTTGAATTTGAATCAGTCCAAAAAAGGTACAATGCACAACAAGGGACCAAGGGGAAACTGCATATGAAATTTGAGAAAGATCCATCAAGTACTTTCCCAGAAATAGTGGTAACAAGAATTGTTTACGGACGGACAGACGACGGATGGACGCAGGGCGATTTGAATACCCCACCATCTGATGATGGTGGGCTAATAAAATACTACTAACTCACCTTTGCCTATGGAAAATATGTCCTCATACTGGTTAAGCCTGTGTGTCACACGAAGAGATCCTTGGTATAACTCGGCACAGAAATGGTACACCTCAAGGTCCTCAGTGAGTCGTCCATAATACAGGTCCTGTGACGGGTTTGGTGTCACAAGGTGACAGAACAGTAATCCATGGGGCTGCTTAGTTTTAAAAGTCAGCTCAAGTTCAAGTTTAGGGTCTAGTAAGGTGGTCACAATAGGGTTCATCAATAAATATCCTTCTGTGAGGATTGTCCATGTGTCCGTGGGCAGCGGGGACGATGTAGTTGACGATGTTGTTGTAGATGACTTTGTTGTTGATACTGATAATTCGGGCGAGGACGAACTGGTGGAGTTTGCTGTATCTGTTGTTCTTAGAGTTGTGGACTCTTGTGCCGCGGTGTATAAGGCTGTTAGTAATACAAGCAGGGCCAGCTGCCAGCCCCGGGGCTCCTGGGCAGTACCACGTACCCAGCCCCACACCATTACCTGTGAATCAATGATATATAACAATTTATAAATAATATACATGTGTATCAACAATTTCTCCAACAGTAAGCCCATGTCTGTTAATAAGCCCACCCTTAGTAATGGTAACAATCTAGAAGTATAAGCCCACACCTGTAATTTGAGCCTTTGAGAAGTGTATTTTATCTGAGATAAATATTGATTATCTTCTATAAGCACTGGGAAGTAAATAAAACATTACAATAAAAAGACAAAGACACTATGTGATATGTATCATAACTCTGACTGACGTCATTGTCGTTATCACATCATTATTGTGGCATTTTGGAAGTTTGCAATTTTGACTAAATTTGAAAGAATAAATAATTGTGTATATCTAGGAGATTTAGAAGACTCTTCTGAATAATCTTTAGTCTTCTCAAAGTTAGTTTTGTCTCATGGGTTGAATATTTGTTTTAACCTTTTAAGTTCAAAAGAAAATGTTATATCAACAACTTCTGAAATTGTAAATGTCAAATTTCATTTGAAATCCCTGTAGGATTCCTCTCAACAGAAACACTGACATTTTGATTATCAGCTTTTTCATGATCAGACGGCAGTCCATAACCCTATGAATGTCAACTCAATTTTTCAGTATTCAACATGACGCCCATGTATAATGTTACTGCAGTGCAGTTGTTTTGGGGTCTGTATTGGACTAGGAATGCAAGCCAAAAGCAGATCAATATGCTTTTAAACACTGTCATTAATTACATTCACAACATTAATTACAACAGCAACCAATTAGAATTAATCAATTTGGCAAGTATACTGCAAAACATACGTCTATATGGAAAATGGGACTATTATGAAACTCATTGCTATCTATTCATGTGCCTTTTTTGTTTTAATCATGTCATGTTAAATACATCTTGACATGATGTACAGGTCTAACTGTGTCATTAACGAGCCTCTGTATGTCATTATTTTCCATAAACAATTATAAGCAAGATTGACACCATTCTGAGCATCCACCAGAATATAGACAAGAAGAGCTGTGAAGCCATTGGCATTTTCATCTCCGTTATTGAAATCAAATACGTATATTGTACTGAAGAAGCCAACGTCAGAGAGACATGTAATGTGCGAGATAGTCGATTTGGCAAACAGTACAGGCAACAAGACAATGGCTGATTGGCATAGCATGTCAGACTTCATTTTCAAGTAAAAGACAAAATCAATAACCAGTGTATCATCATACACAAGGTCCAATGTCTACCTTAAGGCCAAACTTCAGTGTATGAAACCCCCACCTCTCATCACAATTCTCTGATTGAAAAACATGGTCTGTATAAACATACCTATCCTGTGATCTTCACAGACTTGTTTGTTTGGGGTTTTTTTAATGTGTACAGTGTAAACTTATAATTAGTCAAGATACTTTGGTTTTTGTATACTAAGGAATAATTTGGTTTGTGGGTTTATTGGAATATTGTTAGTCAAGACACTTTGGTTTGTGGGTTTATTGGAATATTGTTAGTCAAGACACTTTGGTTTGTGTCTAGAGTGAAACCCTGTCAGTCAAGACACTTTGGTTTGTGTGTACAGTGGAACATTGTAAGTCTGGACACTTTGGTTTGTGTGTACAGTAGAACCTTGTTAGTGTGGACACTGGTTTGTGTGTACAGTAGAACCCTGTTAGTCTGGACACTTTGGTTTGTGTGTACAGTAGAACATTGTAAGTCTGGACACTTTGGTTTGTGTGTACAGTAGAACCCTGGTAGTCTGGACAGTTTGGTTTGTGTGTACAGTAAAACCTTGTTAGTCTGGACACTTTGGTTTGTGTGTACAGTAGTACCTTGTTAGTCTGGACAGTTTGGTTTGTGTGTACAGTAAAACCTTGTTAGTCTGGACACTTTGGTTTGTGTGTACAGTAGAACCCTGGTAGTCTGGACACTTTGGTTTGTGTGTACAGTAGTACCTTGTTAGTCTGGACAGTTTGGTTTGTGTGTACAGTAAAACCTTGTTAGTCTGGACACTTTGGTTTGTGTGTACAGTAGTACCTTGTTAGTCTGGACAGTTTGGTTTGTGTGTACAGTAAAACCTTGTTAGTCTGGATACTTTGGTTTGGAAAAATAAGGAATCTAATGGCATAGAATAATATAATTCAAATTTAAAAATCATTCCTGCTAACAAACATTGATCTAGAATACTGGTTTTCTGGAATATGTTTCAAGTCAATTAATGGTACTCTCAGTGCCGACATAACATTACAACTTATACCTTCCACTGGTGTGACTTGTGGACAGTTCTATGTGTACATTACAATATATACCCTCCACTGGTGTGACTTGTGGACCGTTCTATGTGTACATTACAATATATACCCTCCACTGGTGTGACTTGTGGACCATTCTATGTGTACATTACAATATATACCCTCCACTGGTGTGACTTGAGGACAGTTCTATGTGTACATTACAATATATACCCTCTACTGGTGTGACTTGAGGACAGTTCTATGTGTACATTACAATAAATACCCTCCACTGGTGTAATTTGAGGACAGTTCTATGTGTACATTACAATATATACCCTCCACTGGTGTGACTTGTGGACCGTTCGATCATGTATACATTACAAAATATACCCTCCACTGGTGTGACTTGTGGACAGTTCTATGTGTACATTACAATATATACCCTCCACTGGTGTGATTTGAGGACAGTTCGATGTGTACATTACAATATATACCCTCCACTGGTGTGATTTGAGGACAGTTCTATGTGTACATTACAATATATACCCTCCACTGGTGTGACTTGAGGACAGTTCTATGTGTACATTACAATATATACCCTCCACTGGTGTGACTTGAGGACAGTTCTATGTGTACATTACAATATATACCCTCCACTGGTGTGACTTGTGGACCGTTCTATGTGTACATTACAATATATACCCTCAACTGGTGTGACTTGTGGACCGTTCTATGTGTACATTACAATATATACCTTCCACTGGTGTGACTCGAGGACAGTTCTATGTGTACATTACAAAATACACCGTCCAATGGTGTGATTTTAAACAACTGTATTGGGTGATTGTAAATAACATATTATAGATGACCTATACCCTCCCAGGGAGTGACTTTTCTAACTATACATTAACATTCCATTCCTTACTCATAACAGCATAAAGGTCAAAATTTTTACCTCTGTATTAAACTTATTTACCCCAAAAAGACTCGCCCAATATTGATTTGATAAGTAATCGTGCTATCAGTGTCCGTCAAATTGATATTTAACATAATGGGAAACCACTTACACATTAAAACGAACCATTACAAAAAAACTAATATATTTCACCTGCTGACCTATGAACTGGTTTAACAGGTTAAATCTACATAATTTAGGAACGATGAGATGATAAATGTTGAATCAGATTAATCGACATGTACTCGGAGCTTGAGGAATCTGTGAATGTACGAAATCAATACTCAAGGCATTCTTCACCATTACATTTTCATGTTACCCTGCAGGGGCCATAACTCATCTTGACCCAAGCAGAAGTACTCAAGTCCTGACAAGTCCATTTCCTATTTCATCAGACTTCTATTTTTCTTCAGTATTATGGGACACTAAGGGTCAGGGATCGCCAAAATAAGAGCGAGGGTATAATACATTTAATGTATATGAACAGCAGTAATGTCCTAAATATGTTGCTTTTTTAAGAGAATCTGTGTTTATAACTGTATTGATCCCCAGTATAGCACACACTGTACAGCTATACACTCTACAAGCTTGTCTGTGAACTTGTTTTTCTTTCCCAAAATCCATCTGAAATGGTTGTGACCAAATAAGGACACTAGCACAAGGCAAAAAGTTCAGAATTTTATTTTATCAAAAAAACATGAAATTTATAAAGAGTGAATATTTCCAAGTACAAATTGTATCTGGAATTTTTTCAGTTTAATCATTTATTTCGGAAGCTAGATTAAACCAGATTAACCTGTCTAGTCCAACATACGTGGGATAAAGTTAAACCTGTCTAATGCGATACCAGTGGGATAAAGTTAAACCTGTCTAATGTGACACCTGTGTGATAAAGTTAAACCTGTCTAATGCGATACCAGTGGGATAAAGTTAAACTGTCTAATGTGACATATGTGTGATAAAGTTAAACTGTCTAATGCGATACCAGTGGGATAAAGTTAAACTTGTCTAATGCGATACCAATGGGATAAAGTTAAACCTGTCTAATGTGACACCTGTGTGATAAAGTTAAACTGTCTAATGCGATACCAGTGGGATAAAGTTAAACTGTCTAATGTGACATATGTGAAATAAATCAGACACCTGTGGAATAAAGTTTAAGATATCAAAGGTCTTGTTATTATGTTTGTTCAGATTTGGATATCAATACAACATTGTCAGGGTTAAGATGGATGTCAGAGAATACACAAGTGTCAGATTAAACAGAATGTCAGATTACTCAGGAGTCCGATTAAACAGAATGTCAGATTACTCAGGAGTGAGATTAAACAGAATGTCAGATTACTCAGGAGTGAGATTAAACAGAATGTCAGATTACTCAGGAGTCAGATTAAACAGAATGTCAGATTACTCAGGAGTCAGATTAAACAGAATGTCAGATTACTCAGGAGTCAGATTAAACAGAATGTCAGATTACTCAGGAGTCCGATTAAACAGAATGTCAGATTACTCATTAAACAGAATGTCAGATTACTCAGGAGTCCGATTAAACAGAATGTCAGATTACTCAGGAGTCCGATTAAACAGAATGTCAGATTACTCAGGAGTGAGATTAAACAGAATGTCAGATTACTCAGGAGTCCGATTAAACAGAATGTCAGATTACTCAGGAGTCAGATTAAACAGAATGTCAGATTACTCAGGAGTGAGATTAAACAGAATGTCAGATTACTCAGGAGTCCGATTAAACAGAATGTCAGATTACTCAGGAGTCGGATTAAACAGAATGTCAGATTACTCAGGAGTCCGATTAAACAGAATGTCAGA